TATTGATCTCGATAGAGATGATGATCTTGGTTGAGATGGCGATCTCGGCTGAGATGGTGATCTTGGTTGACACGATGACCTCAGTTGAGATATTGATCTCGGTAGAGATGATGATCTCGGTTGAGATGGTGATGTTGGTTAACATGATGATTTCAGTTGAGATGTTGATCTTGGTTGAGATGTTGAATTTGAATAGGAGCAGAACTTGTTTATTCTTGGTTTCTGATGAATTGACACTAGGATCTTGATATTCTTGAACTAGCAAGTCATGATCTCTGCTAGCAATGCGATCTCCGTCGAGATGTTGGACCTAGATGAAATGGAACATGATGGTTTGTGGTTCTTGGTTCTTGATTCTTGATTCTTGACGAGTGGACATTTGAGTCCTTGTTTCTTTGTGCCAACGAGTCATGATCTCGGTCGGGGAAGTACATGTACAGGTTCCATCACCTCAGTTTGCTGAGGTAATAGAACCTAGGGGGCAGTTGTGGAGACATATTTTTAGGTAGTCCACATAGCCAAGGTTGTTAGCCGAGGTGCCACGTAGGCGGACCATGGTGTCGAGATGTGGTGCGATAATACTGGAATTTGAGATATTTGGATAGAGGACTAGAGTCCTAGATGACATCAAGCTACCTATTTGGATAGAGATGGGCCTCTTGAGGGAATTCATCTTAATCTGATTGTATGAGTTGTGATAAATGTTATCATTGTAAAAGATAGTCCCATGAAGTGAGACTTCTAGGGGAAGTTGGACACTGATCATTATAAAAGTAAGGCACCCTCGTAGGTCTAAGGTATGCTTTATTTAAGATGCTTTTATGCTTTCATTGTTGAAGTTTAAGTATTTGTATTAATATCTGTGAGAGATAAGATTACTGACTTGATTATTGGAGTGCCCCCAGGTGGACGAACCACCGCGGTATTCTCATATTCTTGTTGGCAGGTGTTCGGGATTAATCTATTCTACCGGTGCTCTCCAGCTAAGTTCCCCATTTGGTTGCGTGGTCAGAAATCAACACCAGTGAAATATCCATAAATTCAAATCATGATCTTAGATTATAAATTCTTGATAATTTTCTGGTTATTTTTTTTGGTCCTATATAATCTTAAAATATTTTGGGACAGACAAAGAAAATCCTTAGTTGGGAGATTAAGGCATCATGTATTGTCAGCCTCATGCTACCAGTGAAAATAATAATAATTAATTATATTTTTTTATAGAATAATAAATTATTTTGATATGTCTCTTCAAAATAAACATAAATTTATAACATCATTTTGAATATTTTTTTAATTATATGTCACAAATGGGAAGGTGAAGTAATTTTTTTGTAAATATGAAACAATCCTATTCTTTTAACAGCCAAAAGATCATCAACCCTTTTGGGTAAATTTTCGAGGCAACTACACATTATCACACTACGTCACCATTACAAAATGTTACAATCTCAAGTATAAAAAAATCAAAAAGTTTTTCAGAATTTTATGTCAATGATCAATATTCACTTAAAATGTGACCTCATAATAGTAACTTTTTTTTATGGTAATAATAGCTTTCAATATACACCATTAACATGAAATGGGTAAATTACAATGACACATCTTGAGGTTTATCTTTAATACGGGTTTCTCTTTGACATTTTAAAAATTACATTGACCCTCCTATCAATGTTTGTCTCTTAATAGAACTAACAGAAAATTTTCATTGATCTTAATACCCTTCATACAAGGTGTGAATTTTCCATTTTACCCTCAATTTCATCTTCTTTCATTTTTCTGGTAGTGGGTTTGAGCAGGTTAAAGGCAGAGAGAAGGAAGGAGATGTAGAGAGAGAAAGCTTAGGGTTAAAATTGGTATTTTTGAAAAATAATTTGCTGACATCAATTCTTTCTGTTAATTGACCTAGCTGTTGACTAACGGAAGGAGGAAATTGTAATACAATTCAAAATTATAAGGAGGGGAATGTAATTTGCAGAATGTTAGGGAGCAATTTGTATCAAAAGCAACCCTCAAGGGGTGTCAATGTAATTTACCCATATGAAATTCATAATAATTTTCTAGATATTTTTATGATACCATACACTTTATGTACCAATTATGCATGATACAAGAACCTACACTCTTTGACAAGAGAAAGTATGTCTAAAGTTGCGTTTGATTGATGAATTTGAAAAGAGAAAGGAAAAAATATATATAAGTAAAATGTGAATAAAATATAATTATATTTCACTTACGTTTCACACACATTTTTTCTTTGTTTTTTATTCTTTTCTAAATTTATGAACTAAACATAGCCTGAAAGGTTTAATAAATAAAAGAGGCTCCATTATATTCCACAAAGATATGAGCTTCCTTCATGTCTATGATTTCAACTAAAGAGTTCAATTTAAGTTATTTTGGTCTCATTTTTGATACATTTTGTTGATTCAAATCATTTTTTTATTGTCTCTCAATTAAATTATTCATAAAATAATATAAAAAAAAATCAGATTAATCAATAGCTACATATTTGCATCAGATTTGACGTTAAAAAAAAAAAACAAGAATTTTAAAGACAAATCATCCAATTTTTTTTAACACAAATATAATTCAAATATGTGACTACTAATATTGCCAATTAACTTAATTTTTATAATGAATAACATATTCGAAAGGCATTAAAAATAAACATTTCAAATCAATATAGTAGATCCCGAAGTGAGCTTATAATGCAGAAATAGCACCCGAGGTCAAGCCTAGTCTTGGGCAAAGGCACGAAAGATTCCTCATGGGCCCCAAAATTTGAGCCGAACTAGGGCTTCCCAAATGTCTTAGTCCATTATATTATTAAGAAATGAAAAAATTACTATGTAGTCCTATGTAGGGGATTTATTTCCCTTCTAATCCCACTATATTTTTAATAGACTAATAGGTTCACAATTTTTTAAGTTTTATACCCGGAGGTCCCATTTTTTATTTTCTTATTTTTTAAATGATTGTATTACCTTTTGATTTGAGATATATATATATATATATATATACGTGAAAAATCAAATATTAGATTATGGATCTCGCCTATGCGAGGTTGTCTGCGATCTCGATCTCTCTCTGTGACGTCGATTTCTTTGTGCTATGAGGTCGATTTCTTTGTGCGATCTGAATCTCTGTGTATAAGCTATCTCTACGTACGCTCTTTCTCTTTGCATCTCTCTCTCTCGATACATATATGTATGTATATATAGATAAGAATATTTGCGTGATCTTTGGTTTGTGTTCGTCAATGTTGTTATAGTTCTTTATTTTGTGATAAATTTTGTTTGTTTGATATTTATTTTGTGATTTTTGTATGTGATATAGTGTAATGATTTTGATTTTTTATTATTCTATTTGTTGTATAGTGTAATGTGTTTTGAATTTGTAGTTTGGAATTGTGAATTCTGAAGTTTTGATATTGATATGTTATAATTGTATAATTTTACAGGTTGGAATATGTGAAAAATTGTTTTCTAGTTTATGATTTGTAATATGGAGGGGTGTTTCATGTTAATGTCCAAATATAGTAAGTCTTGTGCTGCTATTAAGATTAGTGAGAGATGTAGTTATCATAAAGTTGTTGAGAAAATATGTGCAAAGTTCAAGGAGTTGAGTGTTGGTAACTTTTGTTTGTTTTTCTCTATTCTTGGATATTCTAATTGTATTGTTGAATGTGATGATGATTTGGGGAATATGATGTCAATGGTAGCTTCTAGTGGTTTTCATGTTGTTGATGTTGTTGTGAGTGATAGGAGAATTGTGGAGATTGATGATAATTTTTCTAGGATTGATTCTATAATTTGTGAGAGTTCTTTGGTTAACGATTGTGATGATTTTGGTGGTTTGTTGCTTAGTTTTTATCCAGAACCAGAGAAAGTTTTGTTATCTTCTAGTTGGAAGGGGATTATACACGATGTTGGTCAAGAATTTGATGGTGGAGTGCCGGCGTTCCGCATTGCATTGGCTAAGTATGTAGTTGAGTGTGGTTTTACAGTGAATTATTTGAAGAATGATGCAACAAGAGTAACTACAGTATGAAGAAGTTGTCCATGAGTTGTAAATGGTTTGTGTATGGAATGAAGTTGGATAATGTGCATACTTGTAGGGTTGTTGCTTGTAGATCTTGTAGCAAAATGGTTGGTTCTAAACTTGTTTATGATATTGTGCATAATGATATTAGTGATAATTCGTTGACTCGTCCTATTAAAGTTTAAAAAAAAAATTGAAGAAGTAATATGGTATAGATGTTTCTTATCAAGTTGCATGGTTAGGAGTTGATAAGGCAAGATGTGAGTTGTTTGGTGATTTTGTATCTTCTCTTGACCAACTTCGATGGTACCTTAAGACGGGTATGAGAATGAATCCTGGAAGTGTGTTTGAATTAGATGTGGATGAAAGTAGTGGTTGTTTTCAGAGGTTGTTTTGGCATTTCATGGATGTTTGTATGGCTTTCAATTTTGTTGTCCGTTGTTGTCTGTTGATGGTACATTCTTGAAGGGGCGTTACAAGGGGCATTTGCTTGTAGCAACATCAAAGGATGGTAATCAAGGTATATATTTATTTGCAGTTAGTATAATTTTGGTTTGTTAGTGTGTTTTGGTAGTTGGTAGATTTTGGTTTTCGTTATTGTATTGTGATTCTGCTAATTTTTGCAAAATCATGTTATTTTGTTTTCAGACCTGTTTCATTTGGCTTTTGCGATTGTTGATGCTGAAAATCAAGATAATTGGATGTGATTTTTAAGTCAGTTGTTGAAAGCTATTGGTTTAGTCCGAAGATTGACGTTTGTGTTCGACCGTCAACATGGATTGCTAGACGCTCTATCTGTGGTTTTTCCCAATGCACATCATGCATATTGCTTGAACCATTTGAAAAGAAATTTGATTGACAAATTGGTGGGACTTCGTACTAATTATAAGTTGACTTTGATGAAAATATTAGTTAAATGTATTTATGTGCCAACTGTTGCTTCTTTCTAACATTATATGGAGAAATTGAGGCGTATTGTTGGGAATGGTAGAGTTGATAGTATGTTGGATGGTTTGCAAAATGATAAGTGGGCAAATGCATTTTTTAGAAGGAAACAATATGGTGAGATGTCATCTAATGCTACCGAGTCTTACAATAATTGGATTGGTGGGGCCCGTGAGTTGCCTATTACTTGTATTATTGATATGATTAGGGTTTAAATTATAGCGATCTCGGTCTTTCCCCATTTGGTTGTTGTATCCGAACTTAGGTTCCGTGGAGCTTGTTGTTGTATATATCTTGTTGTCATCCTTTAATTCCGTATTTTTGAGTTATAAGATGTGTTGGGCAGGTTTGTTACAGGTTGGGTGTGATTGGGAGCAAATGGTTGCTGCTTAGAATTTTGGTCATTCCCTCGAGCGAGCCTTTTGTCGCTTGAGCAAGCTCTGTGTTTTAGATCCTTCACTCGAGCGAGAGTTGAGTTTTGTATCTGGTGGCTCGCGCGAGAAGTCCTTCGCTCGAGCTTGCGTCTGCGTCTGCGTCTGGTTCTGGACTTGAAGGTTGCAATTCTTCGCTCGAGCAAGCTTTCCTTCGTTCGAGCGAGCGAGGTGTATGTTTTGAGTTTCTTTGCTCGAGCAACCATTCTGTCGCTCGAGCGTGCTTCTGGGTTGCAGACCTGAAGCTTCGTATTGTTGGCTCGAGCGAGGCTTTCTACGCTCGAACAAGAGTTCTTTGTGTCTGGTCGCTCGAGCGACCAATCCTTCACTCGAGCGAGCCTATGTTACATCAGTAGACAGCAGCGGGTAAACACTTCACTTTTTCATCTCTTTTGGTTTCAAAACCCTATATCCGAGTTCTCTCTCTCTCTCTCTACACACCTCTCTAGGGTTTCATCTATTTTTAGTGTGTTTCTATCCTAAGTTCTTTGTAAGAAAGATAGAGGGTTGTTTGGGCTACGTTTTAATCTGAAAATTAGTGGATTTGGAGCACATTGGATTTTCACCATCTTCTCCTTTGGTCTCTTCATTTCGAGGTAGGGATACCCTACTCCATCTTATGAGTTTTGTCTTTAATTTTGGTCATCTTGAATAGTTGGTGATGTTGGGTAATATTGAGAAAGTTAGGGTTTGTTATGTAATTTATGAAAGAGGGGTTTTCAAATATTAAGACCTATGTGTATGTTAGTTGTTGAAAAATGGAATTATTGTTGTTAGATTGGTGAAATCAAACCTTAGCGTTAATATGTGAAATATGGGAAAATGCCCTAGTTATTATGACAAATTAATTTGTATAATAAATTTTGGAGAAATGAGAAATTGAGTTGAGAATCATGAAATTGGGAAATTATGGGGTTATATGGTGTAATTGGATTAATTTATCACTTACCTATGGAAAATGTTGATATTATATCTGTTGATGCATTTATGTTCTGTTTAGAAATATCTACTTTGGGTTATCAGTGGAGGATAGTCTTGATTGTTGTAGACACTGCATGTTGATTAGGGAGTTTATATACTTGGAATACGTGTATTGTGTGGGAGGAGATAGGGGATGTACTCCATGGTTTGAGGGAAGATAGGGGATGGACTCTCAAACTGGTTTGGGAGGAGATAAGGGATGAACTCCATTGATACAGCAAATATGTGTATCAGATTTATGTGTTAATACAGCAAACATGTGTATTAAATGGGAGTGTTAATATAGCGAATATGTGTATTATTTGGAGTATGGAAATGTTTGAATATGAGATGAAATCTCATTTATGAATTATGAAAATATGGAATTGTTTTAGTATGAATCTTAGTCTCATTGAATTGTTTGGCCAGGTTCTGAGCCATGTAATATAAATTGATTTTGATAAGTAAAGGAGAAATGAAATGTAATATGGACATGTTTGTCATGGAACTGTGTTGTGAGATAAATTGGTTTATAAGTGTTAACCTCCTATCAAATACTATTGTTTTAGTCATTGCTTATACTTGGTTTATTATATCTCTACTGGGCTGTGGCTCACCCTTTATGGGACATCATTTTCAGGTCCAGGTGATATGCCACCTCCAAGGATATAGCTTGGGAGGTTCTAGGAGTTGAAGACTCTTAGTTATTTTGTTATGTTTTGTTGTATTACATGTACATTCAAGCCAAGGGCTTTATATGATATGAGTTAGTACTTTCTTTTGTGTAACCAAGTGTTGGCTTGGAAAGTTGTAAGCCGTTGGGAATTTATTTTTGTTGTCAACATGTAATACATTTGTAAGGAATACTCTGATGAATGGAATTAAGTTCTGTTTACTTATGTCTATGCACGTCTAAAATGTGGGTTTCTAAGTATTATTTTGAGGGCATTACAACTTGGTATCAGAGCGTACCGGGTTCGAATACTTTGGGTACACGGGAAGTGGTTAGTACCACAATGGGTTTGACTCACTTGGTAGAGACTTAAGTGTAATGTTATGTGCTTATGTGATAACATGTTTATGTGACTACTTGGGTATGGGATTTAGTTTCTAGGATGTTGATTGGATCCTTGGGTTTCTGGGAGTCCTATTGGAAAAGCACTTAATCAATGCTATTTCTAATTGGAACTGTAGCAACGAATCGGGACTGTCATTATCCGGAAATGGAATTCGTAAGTGCTTATGTGATTATGTGCTTACGTGGAATGAATTACAGTTGTCCATTGCATTAGGACGTGAGTGTTATAGTTTCGGCACATTTGTGAATGTGCTAATGTTCCTGTTACCTTTATTAGGATGTCAGGATGAGGACGCAGAGGTAGGCATGGTAGGGGTGGTAGGTAGGAGGCGCCTATACCGGATGAGATTCCGACACAGCAGGAGGGTGTTGGCTAGGCCAATGTAGCCGAGCCAGTGGGTTAGCAGGCCATGGGTGCCTTAGCTCGCGAGATAGCAGGAGCTTTGAGGGAATCCATGGGCATTCTTAGAGCTGAGAATCAAGTTCAGGCCCAGGTTGTTGATGCAGGACCCTCCTTTCTGAAGAGGGAGTTTTTCCGATCTAATTCAGATGAGTTTTTGGGGGATTCGAAAGAGCCACTTAAGGATGATGAGTGGTTGGAGCAGATGACTAAGACATTTGAGATGCTTGGCATCGAAGATGGGGCTTTGAAGGTGACCTTGGCGTCTTTCTAACGTAAGGGAGATACGGGTCAATGGTGGAAGTTCATGAGGGGTCGTGTTTGTGGCACTTGGGAGGCCTTTGTGGATGCTTTCCAGGAGAAATTTCTATCTCCCACTGTCAGGGAGAAATTGAGAGATCAGTTCTGCTAGCTTAAGCAACTGGGTTCATCAGTGGCCGAGTTTGAGGCCGCGTTTAGTAGTTTATCCAGGTTTGCACCTGAGCTTGTGGCATCTGAAGAACGTCGTTGTCTCGAGTTTGAGAGGAAATTGAGGCACGGGCTCAAGATGAGAGTTGGCGGGTCTATGACTCGGGAGTATGGGCGCCTTATGGACGCTGCGGGCCATATGGAGATTATGATGCATGAGGAAGAAGAGAGGTTGTGGGGCTCCAAGAGAAGTTAGGATGGCCAGGGGGATGGCAGGAGACAGAGGGTTCCTAACCTTCAGCAGTCTCAGGGTGGTTTTGCTAGATCTACCTTTCCAGTGCCAAGTGCAGGTTCTGGGAGAGGCAGTTAGGGAGACATTACTTGTTACAAGTGTGGTCAACTGGGCCACAAGTCTCCAGCTTGCCCGCAGAGGGGAGGAAGTCAGAGAGCAGCTTCATCTTCGGCTCGACCTCAGAACCAGAGTCAGGGCAGAGGCCAGCTGCTCCTATGTTATCAGTGTGATCAGGCGGGGCACCTGAAGAGGTTCTGCCCGCAGTTGAGTGCCACATCGGGTGAATCTGGTTCGAGGCAGACGCAGAGTTTTCAGCCAGTACAGTCAGTTCAGGCCTTATGGGCCAATCAGGGAGCTTCGTCATCCCAGTCTGTGCAGTAGTCTTTTGCTCCTAGGGGTGAGCAGGTAGATTAGAAACCTTCAAGGTGCGTGTATGCTGTTACCAAGCAGGATCTTGTACCTGCTCCATCTGTTGTGTGAGGTACCTTTTTGTTTTGCAACTCAGTTGCCAATGTGTTGATTGATACGGGTGCATCCCATTCCTTTATATCTGCTGCATTTGCGTTTATTTTGGGGTTAGAGTTGGCACAATTAGCATCTCCTATATGTGTTGTATCACCTGTTGGGGGTGAGTTGATTTTGAAACACGGGTGTCGAGGCTATGATATAGAGGTCGCTGACTGCCAGTGTAGACACCCCATTTTTGACCGACCTTAAGACTCAGACGTCATCGATTGAGCGCTTGGTGATTGTGCATGTTCTGCTTGTTCTGAGATTTCGAAGTTTCGGCTGAGAGCCTTGCCTCCGAGCCTCGGAACTTTTTGTGCTTTGACTCGGTCTACGGACCAGGTCTTGTTTCCTCTTCCCGGAGGAAGGGAGAGGTCTTGTAGACCACCTCTCAGTGGCCGTGGGCTACTTTTCGTGGTTGTAGGCCACTGTTCCCGTTTGGAGACTAGTTTTTGATTTTCGGAGCCATCGGCCGCGCGCCTCGGCTCAGGACCGCTTAACATTCTCCATTTGGCACAGTTTTTGGAACACACCTTGTTTCCTCTATCTAGAGGGACACTGTGGCCCGGTAGACCACTTTTGTGGTCGCACACCACTTTTGGTGCTCAACAGCTAGTTTTTGAGGCACCCGGCCGCGCGCTTTTCCTCCCGAACTCTCGTTTTGCATCCGTGTTGGTTCATTTTTTGCATGAACCTTGTTTTACTTGTTTGGAAGGTGGTACAAGGATGGGAGACCAGCTTTCTCCTTGGAAATCACTTTTCTCCCTGCTAGCCGGTTTTCTGGTCAGGAAACTGGTTTTCTTGGTCTTTGGGCCACATTTTCTAGTTTCCCACCCCACCATTGGCTTGCTTTCAGTGTGGAGACCACCAATACCCTTGGCTGACCACTTTTTATCTGGGAGACCACTTGCCCTGGTCGGTCGACCAGGGAAAGTAGTCGGCCAACCACCTTTTCTGGTCGGCTGGTTTCCTCCTGTTTTGTTAGATTATGTGGATGCCAGCTGTGCCAACTGGAAGGCACAGACTGTATCCTCCATTCACGTGTATGGAGGATTTGCATCCAAGCTTTTAGCTTCTTGAGGAAGCTTTAGCTTA